AATCGGGGGTGTTTTGTGACTCGAATAATAAAGTGTGGGATACCACTCATGTGCTTTCTTCTCTCCCACCAGAAACACTGCGGAGCTATTTCTCTCAGTATGGGGAAGTAGTAGACTGTGTAATTATGAAAGATAAGACCACGAATCAATCACGAGGCTTTGGGTTTGTGAAATTTAAAGATCCCAATTGTGTGCGGACAGTGCTGGATACAAAACCCCATAACTTGGATGGAAGAAATGTGAGTACAGTGTTTTGTTAAACTGCAACCAACCCTTGTCGCCTGTTTTCTTAGTAGTAGTGAGATAGTGTTTTATAATATGTAAAAGAAATGTGCATATTTTTAAAAAATGTTCTATATATTGCATATGTTGTTACTGGGGAGACATGTCTATGTTTGCGCAGATCGACCCGAAGCCATGCACTCCCCGGGGAATGCAGCCTGAGAAGACCCGGACAAAGGAAGGCTGGGTAAGGGAAGAGCATATTTTATCTAGGCTACACCTGCCCACAGAGGAGTACTGTACATTATGTAGTTTTATAGTCTCAAGAGATGCTGACCTGCTTCTATATTTTCTGGACACCTGGGATTTTACCACCACATCAGTGTTTTCTTTGCGGTAACATTTTTGCAGTGCTGTGGCCTGCCAGCTGCTGATCTGCAGGACTGTTGCGCTAAATTTGCATTGTCCTTCAAACGTGGTGTACGAGGCTGGGATTCGCACGCAAAACTGGCGATTTGAACTTTTATGTATATTATTAAGGACAGTGCCCGTGTAACTCAAAGCAGATGCAGGAAGACAAAGTCCTGAACAAGTCAGATAGATTCTGGTTCCAAGCAAATCATTGTAGATCTATATTGCAATGCATTTTCAAACGGAAGTTCTGCATTTAAAATGCTTTTTAAAACCCTTTGGTTTTAATCCTTTTACATAGTAAATTGCACAGTTACCTTAACATTTTTAGTAAAGGTGGTAGTAAAAATGAAGTATAACTTTATATGATCGTTTACATATTTAATGATTGTTTTAAATGTATTGAATTGGCTCAGTGATTTATTCACAATAGGATCTTTGTCTGAATCTTTAGGTCATTTGTATAAGAAACATAAAAATTACATACTGTTGTCTTTCTTAAGACTTATGGATGTTTTATATTCATACAAGCTTTTGTTATGTTAGCCTAGCTTGAAAGTATAGGCCACAAGGTGGGACTACATCTT